AGTGTTGCACGAGTATATCATACAGCAACAGCTTTGTCGAATGGAAAAGTCTTAGTTACTGGTGGATTCAATGGTGTTTATCTCAGCAGTGCTGAGTTGTATGATTCATCAGCAGGTAGTTGGACAACAACAGGAAGTATGAGTGTTGCACGAGGATATCATACAGCAACAGTTTTATCGAATGGAACAGTCTTAGTTACTGGTGGGTGGAATGGTGTTTATCTCAGCAGTGCTGAATTATATGATCCATCATCAGACAATTGGACAACAACAGGAAGTATGAGTGTTGCACGACATCTTCATACAGCAACAGCTTTATCGAATGGAAAAGTCTTAGTTACTGGTGGACAGAATGATTTGTATCTCAGCAGTGCTGAATTATATGATCCATCATCAGACAATTGGACAACAACAACAAGTATGAGTGTTGCACGCGAATATCATACAGCAACAGCTTTATCGAATGGAAAAGTCTTAGTTACTGGTGGGTTGAATGGTGTTTATCTCAGCAGTGCTGAGTTATATGATCCATCAACAGGTAGTTGGACAACAACAACAAGTATGAGTGTTGCACGAGGATATCATACAGCAACAGTTTTACCGAATGGAACAGTTTTAGTTACTGGTGGGTGGAATGGTGTTTATCTCAGCAGTGCTGAATTATATGATCCATCAACAGGCAGTTGGACAACAACAACAAGTATGAGTGTCGCACGATGTTCTCATAGAGCAACAGTTTTATCGAATGGAACAGTCTTAGTTACTGGTGGATTCAATGGTGTTTATCTCAGCAGTGCTGAGTTATATGATCCATCAACAGGTAGTTGGACAACAACAACAAGTATGAGTGTTGCACGAGGATATCATACAGCAACAGTTTTATCGAATGGAACAGTCTTAGTTACTGGTGGGTGGAATGGTAGTGTTTATCTCAGCAGTGCTGAGTTATATGACCCATCAACAGGCAGTTGGACAACAACAACAAGTATGAGTGTTGCACGAGTATATCATACAGCAACAGCTTTGTCGAATGGAAAAGTCTTAGTTACTGGTGGATTCAATGGTGTTTATCTCAGCAGTGCTGAGTTGTATAAATAACATTGGACAAAAAGAGATAAACAATTTTTCGTTCATTCAAAATTAAACTAAATTAAAACTTATTGAAAATAATTAAGAAAAGGTGATTGAACTGATTTTAAATTGATTAACGAAATAAAGTTCAAAGGTAGTAAAAACGAATGACTGCATTAGTTTGATGAACCCATTCGACCCGATAGATTTCACCAATGAAATCCATAATGACTAACAGAACTTTACATTTCGCATTTTAATCTCTAAAGATGTTTTGTTAAGAAAGCATATTATACTGAACGGTGCAGCGTGAAAAGCTCTGCAATCTAGAAAGTAGAGCTTATTTGAAATTGCGTAGTTTTTATTTTCAAAAGACTAGAATTTCGTGCAGCGAAATTTTGCTAAAGAGCACTGGGGTCACCGGTGGACCCCATCGTGCTGAATGGGTTAAGATTGAAATGCATTTGAAGTCTTTGCGTTTCGTTGGTCTCCAGGGATGGCCAAAAGTAAGTAAACAAAGGAATAGTTTTCTGATTTTTTCCTTCGGACATTTTGATACACATCTCATTCTTATGCCACATATAGTACGTGAGATAATTGAAAGATATAGTGTATGAGCGATATTTGGATGTACTGATTTATTTAAAAACGAACAACTACAATATAACCAACAAAAAATTAATCATGTGTTTTGACTGTCATAACACATTTTATTCTATTTCTTCTAGTACTACTTTTACCTGTTAGTAGAGACATCTACCAGATAATAACACATACAGTTATCTCTTATATCGTCCCGTTTATAGTCTTATGTAAAATATTGTTTTGAGGGTGTGGGGTGGGTGAGAGTTTGGGTGAGTTTAAGAAAGAAGAAATATTTCTAAGCTATCTATGACGCGTTTCGTCCTTGCTTAAGGGACTTATCAGAGAAGAATGCAAGTGTAGTATTAAAGGAAAAGAAGTAATAATAGAGAAAGTAGAATATAGTAGTCACTAAGAGCTTAGAAGTATTCGATGAGGCATGTGATAGATCATATTGTTACAAGAAGGATGTTGTTGCGCAGAAGTAATGGACTATTTTCTCGGTAAGTATATAAGGGGAATGATATTTTAATCTCAGAAATAATAATAGTGATTTGAGTAGGTCATTAAACACGATGGCTGAAAAGAGTATTGGATGTGAAGAGTTTTTAGATAAAAGAGAGAGGTCAGAAGAAGAGATGTAATCGTTTGGCAGAGAGATGACCATATTCAGTCAGATCGCTCTGGCCAGAAGGACTTCTACCGCCACTGGACAATACCTTCTTCATAACATTTTGATATAGGTAGCTATTTCAAAACCAGCGATTAGGAAGAATTAAAGATTTTAAAAAAGAATCAGGACACTACTCGAAGTGCAATTTTAAGCTTAATTTGGTTTGTATAAGATCCCCAAAGAATAGAAATGGTAGTGTTCAAAAAACAAAAGCCCTAAGTAAAGCATAAACGTACCCAAGTTGAATCGAAGTTGTAGAAGAGTGGTTGTGGCGATAGCTGTTGTGTTAAATGAATAAATGAATAGACTCGGAAGAAAACATCGATTTATATAGTAAGGGCGAGGACACCAGGAACAATAGGGCACTATGGACACTAGAACACATAAAACACCGGAACATCAAAGACATGAAGAGTATGAAAGACATCAGGGCATTAAAGACATGAAATTAGATAAGACATTAGGACACGTGAGAGATTAGGACATTAAGAACACTGAAGATTCTATAACACCAAGAATAATAAAGACACTGAAGACAACGAGGACATCGAAGACACGAGAATACTGAAAACACCAGAACACTGAAGACACTCAGAACAATTAGGACACTAGAACACCGAAGACACTAGAAGACTGAGGACACCGAGACACCGGGACACTGAAGACACTACACAAAAACGATCTATAGAGTGATCTGTCAACTTACCCGATTGTTGATAACGTTGCACTACTGTAAAGGGTATTTTATTACAATAATTCTCGAATGCACTGAAAAAAAAGGTGTTTTACCAAACCAAAAAAGCAATCGGTCGGCGGGCACAATCGCTAAACCTCACATGGTTTGGTCGCAAAAAGGTTTCGCACGAAACCTTTCCCAAAAATATTTTCAAACGGTTTTTTCTGAGGGTTTTCATATGCAATACCTCTGGAGAATTTACCACCATTGACGCCCTTGGTGAGTGCGTAATCCTTTTCTATGAGAGTCTCTATCTGTCTGATCCTGCGCAGTACGATAAGACGCCAGCACAAAAGAGTATTTCACCAGTTCTTCCTGTGAAAGTCATATTTACACCATCAGACATCTGATCCTCGACAACCTAGAAGGTTTATACATAGATGAGATTGTTTTGAGTTCTATTCATGCATGTCATATATGATATACATAAGAAACTGGAAAGTTACAAATGTTTCTAGGCGCTACTTGAGTAAAAGTAAGCGTGAGAACTGAATTGAAGCAGTTCGAAACATTTGTAACTTTCCAGTTTCTTGTGTATATCATATATGACATGCATGACCCAGGTGAAAACGGCCATATCGGATCCTGTCGGACGGGTATCAAATCCTTTGTCTCACGGACGATCGGATTCGATCGGTTACTATTGAGCGGATTCCGATCAAATCTGATATTTTTCTTCGATATCCGTCCATCGGATACGTTGAGTTCCGACAAAATTCATACATTCCGAACCGGTCGGATCCTGTCTCAGGATTCGACTAGTTCCCGTCGGACTCAGCCTTATCCGATGCCTGGAAAAGAGCAGAATTCTCTGTTTCACATGATACCGGGTTCCATCATAATACCAAGCAATTGCTGCCATCGGAATCGGTCGGATATATATATATGGATTCCCTTTATCGATTTTTGTATTTTCATGCATTATGGTTCCGACGGATATCGACCACTGCTCTATGTCGGAAATGAGCGGAAACCGACTCACAACCATTAGCATGATAGCTGTAATTAGCTTGATCGAAAATACAATGCCTGATAGCTCCGTTTGACCATTATTCTACATGCACTGCGCCAACATTCAAAACCAGCACAATTAGCTTACTAGCCCAAACAAGTCACTACTAATTGCACTCCAATCAACCAGAATCCTTCCCATGCAATACACAATCATCGGAACCCTTTCAAATCACCAAAAATCCGGCCAATGCAAGTAACAAGCGCATTCATCTCCTTTGATTTCCAACTCTACAAACTCCTGCGATCCGCCAAATCACAAAATTGTTCAAAATTCGTATCACCTCTCCTGAAAAAACAAACTCACGACCAACTTGAATCCTATCCTTTCATCGCATTCACCGATAACATTCCCACACCTACGCCTATCTAAGCTACTTATCTTCATGCAGACGTGTCGCAATCTAGTGTAATCTTGACCATCCAGCGAAAACTAGTAAAATCTAGAATAATTTTCTTGCAACTGGCCAACATCTGTGGCGCCTCCGCCAAATCTACCATAATTTTCCAAAATCAAATCTATATCCTCCACAACGTAAACACACTTTAGCATAATCGAGCTTACCCTAGCAACAATCCACCGAAATTTAGCTTCATCCGCGATTAGCTAAGCGAGACCTACACCAAACCACGTGAAATATACCGTAATTTTGTTCAAATCCAGTCAACCCTACTGCAATATAGATAAAGTCCACTATAATCCAGCCTCATAAAGCTCATATCTAGATGATATCACCTAAAAATTAGCTCAAATCCAGTATCAGCCACTCTAGTCTCGCTGAAATCTAGCTCAAAAGCAGCTCCTATCCAGCATAACCCACTCTAGTCTCGCTGAAATCTAGCTCAAAAGAAGCTCCAATCGAGTATAAGCCACTCTAGTCTGGCTGAAATCCAGGTTAAATCAAGTCTAATATGCGTGGAATCGACTGTAATGTCAGTCGAATATAATGCACTCTACCTGTTTTGAAGTGGGATCCTCCTGTAACAACGAACAACCCGTTCGATTGTTGATGGCTTCTGGGTGTGTTTTAAGTGTGGACTGTTGAAAGGAGTCGCTTATGATTGACAGAGTAAGGATGAAAAAAATCATTTTCTACGGTACTCGGTGAGCATTGTTCGTCCGTTACAATCAAACGTTGACGAGAAAAAAGGTTTTCCGAAGATTTCAAGGGAGTTTCACTGAATTCTTACCGTCATTGTGAAGGAAAACGGTAAATTCCGGGATGTTTCGGTGCCCCAAACTTGGATTGGGCGATTTGGGCGATCGGCGGTGACCGGCATTGAATCTTCAAAATTTTATTCTATGTAGAAACTCTTTCCGAGAACGTTTTTGCCGTACGGTTTGCCCCTAAGGAGAGAGTGTCCTAAATATTCGCTGTGCACTGTGTCCGCTTTATTCAAAGCCGTGGTTTTTTACTGCATTCATAACTCGTGTGCCATGTATAGGCTTTAAGCTTATAACAAGCGATCTCCAAAGCGTATGGTATCTGGTGTTCAAAGATTAGAAGCGATGGTTAATTTCTCAGTGACCTCCTGTATATTCGGCGCGCTATTCCAGTTTACTACGGTATCACTTAATTGTTACCCATCAGAACGTACCTGCTGGGCGAGAACGAATTTACAGTTGTCGCTTGAGTAACACCCAACCATTTTTACGGGTTAAATGCTTTATTAACTGGAATTTAACAGATAAGTTAGAGCACTTACTTTTCACACTAACGTAAGCCGAACCCCCGTTAATTGTTAATGCTAACGATTAACGGCATACGTTTAAGTAAAGTCCAAATTAACATAAAATTGCAACTCGCACACTAATCAAAAGATCAATAATCCGTCCAGATAACATTCACCGTTTTGTTTCGCGCACCCTACCCCTATATATACCTGTCCATTTTTTGGAATCCTCGTCAATTCAAGGTGCCATCCAAAAATCAAGATTCTGTTCAGGTTAGAACAGCGCTTTGGTTGGTGCGTGGCGGTCAGTGAGGCGATGCATACGGATAGGCGTAGTGCAACGATAACCGA